TGGCTATAAAGCAAGTCGTGTTCCTGGGCTGAAGAAACTCCAAGGAGGCTAGTCGCTAGGGGGAGGAAGCTAGGCGTTGCTACATGATGTCATTACCCGGCACCCACAGCGACCATTTCTGGGCTGGGCTGTGGGCCAAATTTTGTGTGTGGCTGGCTGCGATTTGGTGGGGTGTCGCTCCAGGGTGGTGGTGGGACCTGTGTCCACTTGGGGGAAGCCGAGTGTTGCTTTGTGGGCACCAGGTCCTTGGTGCCATTTCTCTGTAAATGGCCAATGCGCGTCACAGCAGCTCCTGCGTTGAGTGTCTGCCCCCTGGTGGTCAGTGTGCATCATAGTGACTAGTCGGATGGTCAGACACTTAGCATCTTTAATATATAGATTTTCCTAAATGATGAGTGTTTTAGTGTGCCTACACTGTTTATGGTTTATGCTGCATACCTGTTTTCCTTCTGGGAGTCTGGAACTGGTGGTAGGCAGTGGGTACCTATCTGACTAGCCCTCCACAAAACAGCAACAAAACCCTTGGACAGTAAGTCTCCAATGAGCTTCCCTGGAAGATGACACTTCATACTTGTTGTCACAATTCACTGATGGAAAAATTAAGTGTATCCTGGGTGATTCCCCTGGGAGAGAACTCTTAGAATCATGTGCCTGGTTTCCTCTGGACTTCACGCCATGAAGCTTTTCCATTTGGAGATTTTGCTTTGTAACCTTTTGCTGTAAATCTCATTTGTGAATACAACTACATTCTGAGTCCTTTGAGTCCTCCTAGTAAACCTTTGAACATGGGAGTGTTAAGACCAACACATTGCCATATACAGAAGAAGTCATAGTCCCACCCTCACCTATGTCAGCCCAGTGGGAAGCCAGAACTTTCACCATCTCCCAGTGGTAATGAGCTGCCTTTGCCACTTCCCATAATGTCAATTGGAGGCCAAGTGGGGAGCAGTGAAGAGGCACCCCTCTACCTCCCAACCAAGGTGGTATCAGTGGAGGCCTGGTGAACCTGACCTCCTGCCCCTGCACAGTACTGGTGTCCTTTCCTGCCCACATGGGGTGTCAAAGGAGGCCTAATGGGAAGCCTGGACTTCTATCCCAACCAGGTAATTACAAGGTGACATCTCCCTTCCCTAACCAATAGTGTCAGAGAAGGTCTGCTGAAACAGATTTATTTATTTTTATTTGCTTTTATTTTTAAAAATTATTTTAAAAAATCTTTATTATGGAAACTCTTACATATGTCCCCTTTTTGCCCCCATTGACCCCCTCCAGCCCGCCCCAGGCCTCTACCACCCTACAGTGTCCATGGGTTATGCATATATGCATACAAGGTCTTTGGTTGATTACCTCCCACCCACCCACCCTCCCTCCGAGATTCTGCACTCTTGAAATAGAAGATTTAAGTAAGATTTGAGCCTCATAATGTAATAATGCCCCAAATAGTCAGGATACAATAGAAAAGTACTCACCATATGACAACTAGGAAAATCTCAACTGAAATGCGGAAAGTCAACTAACGGATGCCAACACCAAGATAAGACGTGGAATTATCTGACAAGGATTTTCTGTAAGCCAGAGATTTTCAACCTTTTTCATCTTATGACACAAATAAACGAATTACTAAAATTCTGTGGTACACCAATAAGTGTATTTTTTGCAGATCTGACACACAAAGGGAATGGCAATTGTTGTGTTGGCTATTGGCATTTTAAAAATGTTTTTATTGATTTGAGAGAGAGAGGAAGGGAGAGGAATTGAGAGATAGAAACATCAATGAGAAAGACACATTGATCGGCTGCCTCCTACATGTTCCCTACTGGGAATTAAGCCCACAACCCTGGCATGTGCCCTAACTGGGAATCAAACCTGCAACCTCCTGGTTCATGGATCAATTCTCAACCACTGAGCCACACTGGCTGGGCATGTTGTCGTTTTTTAAATTTGACAATCTAAGGGAAAAGAGGTCGGTGCCCCTGACTGAATAGTGAGGTACTGAATTTTTAAAAAATGCTTGTGGCACACCAGTGTGTGTGGCACACTGGTTGAGAATCACTGATGTAAGCTTTGTGAGAAAAAAGACCATGTCTGGTATATTCACCATTATAGTCTCAGAGCCTAGCATGATGTTGGCTGAAGCAGGTACTTAATAGTTGCTGAATGGATGAATGGAATGTCAGGTAATGAGAGCATGTAATAATACATGTTATACATATAGTATGTACATATCAGTAAATGATTATAATTTGTGTGTGACTGGATGCACAGAAAAATTTTGAAATACGCATCAAAATGCTCATAGCACTATAGGATGCACTCAGTATTTGTGAAATGAATGAATGAAATCAGTGAGAAACTGTCACTAAACAAATTTTCTGAAATAGTTATAGACTGTATCAAGTTTAGACATTTGTTTGAAATGTAAAAGGGAAGTATAGCAAGATACCATATCTATCATTGATGAGAATGAACCAGTAGAAGGAAAAGAGGTTAAAAATACAAAAAGAGAGAGGGATGCTGGATTTATAGAAAGCTTCCTGAAAAGGAGCCAGAGCACGAACATGCGGGTTGACTTCAGGTAGAAGGAAACGGCCACACTGCAACAGAAGCAAAAGAAGTGAGGACAAATGCAGATACAACTGTAGATTTAGAGGTCTGAAGATGAGGTAATTCCTCTTCGAGACCTATTTTCTTAGCAAAAACATAAGATAATATTATCTGCCAAGAGCAAGGTTGTAAATTGGAAGGTCTGAAATTTGAAGAGTTGAGGTTTTTAAAGTAGTCATTTTGGAAAGGAAGTTGAATAGAAAAGGTAGTAAACTTGCCAGGCTGAATAAAGGGCCTGTACAATCTGTCCTGTGAGACAGATTCTGTCCATTTTCAGCTCACTGATTGCAATCAGGGAAAAGGCAAGGTAATAGATATTAGAACAGAGGAACAAAGTGCTCCAGTGAAGTTAAAAAAAAAAAAAAAAGAGGATTGTTTTTCAACTGAAGGAGAGGAAGACAATGGCCTGAGAAAAGGAAGAAAACAGGTCAGGGAAGATGGAGATAAAAGCAGGGTGGTGGTGGATTTCTGGCTGGGGTACAGGAATGTCCTTTTGTCTTACAGTCCAAACATGGTCACAGTGATAGTTTATCACCTGCTTTTTAAAAAAAAGTATTTTTGTTGATTTCAGAGAGGAAGGGAGAGGGAGAGATAGAAACATCAATGATGAGAGAGAATCATTGATCAGCTGCCTCCTGTACGCCACCTATTAGGGATTGATCCCACAACCTAGGCATGTGCCCTTGACCAGAATCAAACCCAGGGCCCTTCGGTCCGCAGGCCAACGCTCTATCCGCTGAGCCAAACCAGCTAGGGCTATCATCTGATTTTGTGACATTGGTTCCATATTTCTTTTAGTCTCTTAGACCTGACAATCTATCAAAACCCTATGAAGGAATTCCCAGGCATCTTTAGTTGCTGCAGAGAAGTATGAAGGCACAAGGATATCATCCTCCATGCATTAGAAGAGAGGCTTTAATGAGCAACAGGAGGCAGAAGCTTAATTTTTCTCCTTTTATTGGTCGTTGTGAGTTACTGTAAGCCCTTTCTTAGTCACCTTTGTGTTCTTCCCTAGTTACCAAGAGTCCAGTTCCTATATTCAAGAGATATCTTGCAATCTACTCCAAGTGTTTTGTTAACATTACTTTTGAATTCATGAATGTTCAGCTAAATAGAAGTGGACTTGGGAGGAACTGAGATCTGGGCAAGATAACTTAAAATTCATCTGTTAAACGGACCATTTGTCCAAAATACTCAGCTACCATTATTTTCCGAGAAATACTACTTACTGTTCAACACTTGATAATTATTAAATTATCTACACTCTAGTAATACCAAACTTATCAGACCTTTTGTACAATGGCTAATCCATTATTGAAAAGAATCTTTATGAATCGTGTTGCTTAGAATTAGTGAAACTTCAAAGTTTTAGTTGAACTTGATGATTAACAAAAACAAACCTCTTTAATCACAACAGCAAAAAATATAAAGTGGCTAAGCAGCTGGTTAGCACGTGAACAAGGCAAGGAACAGATTGGGTTGAAAGAAAATTATAATTCATTCTAGGGTCCAGTCCCTTGTCTTTTGATCATTTCTTTGGCTGGATTGCTAATGCATGATTTTTGTACAAATTCTTTTAATTTGGGGTTTTCCTTTCCTCTTTTTTTTTTTTTTGAAAGACGGTATATATTTTCTGAAAATATGCTTTGTTTTTTAAAAGGAGCAGATATGCATTATTAGTGCAATAAAAATTACCAAAAGAGAGCGGGAAAGAGAATATAAAACAGTGTATATCTTAACTAAACCATTGTTAAGAAACAAAACTTGTCTCTTTGCTTCCCTTCCATAACATCGCTGTCAAGTAGAAGGCAAAATATAGGTAATTCTAGGACTGCATATATGGAGGCCAATATTACTTACGCGTTTTCCCTTCCTTTTCAAAACTAGGTTTTGTTTGGTACTATATGCAACAACCATGTGCCCCCCCCCCCCCCCCCCCCCCCCCCCGCGTCCTGGACTGCGTAAAATGGGGAGCCTTCTAAGCTGAAATTACTTATGTTGCTGGCTCCCGGTGCCAGGGAAGGATCTCAAGTCTTCAGTCCTCAAAGGTCACCTTTCAGGCCTCATTTCGGAACATGGGCTCTAGTCCCGAGTGCCAGCACACCTGGGCAAGCCGCGCGCCGCCCCCGGCCCACTCAGACTCGGCGAAACCATCCCCGAGACCTCACACCCGCCCGAAAACACCCTCCTAGCTGGGACCCTACTAACTGGCGCATGCGCAGCACAGGCGAAGGCCGTCAGCCATCCAGAGGTCCTAGCATCTGCACAGCGGTCTCGGAAAGGCCTGGCTCCACCGTCACCAGGAGGAAATCCCGGCAGCAGCCTACCCAGCATGACCACTCGCAGAAAAACAAGGGAAACCGCGGTCCCGTCTCCAGCGCGTTTCCGGTTTAAAGCTAACTTCCGGTGCGTCAGCCGGTTCCTGTCTCTGCCTTTCACTTCCGGTGCCTTCTGTGGCGCTGCGGCTGGTTCCTGCGTCCGCCGCCGAGGGCCCCACCGCTCTCCAGGTGAGGGACTCGGGCACCCCGGCGTGCTCCCCGCCGAGATGCCGCGGGCCTGGGCCACCGCAGCTTTGCCGTCCTGGGGACCCCAGTGCCGCCGGCCGCGGCGGGCTGGGGGCTGCCGGTGGGCGCCGCGGGCCGTGCTTGCCCTGGTCTGGCGCCCAGGCCTCCGGCCCTGGGCCGCGCGGGTCGCCGGGGCCGCCGCCCTCCCTTCCGGCCTCCTCGTCCTGAGTTAGGGCTTCCCGCGCCCCAGTGTGGACTTTGCGTCCCCAAACGTCATTCCTTCCTCTTCTGGGGTTTGAGCATCTCTCCCCGTCACTGTCCCTATAGACACCCCGGCCCTCTTGGACTTAGGGGTCTCCGCCTGCTTTTCTAGGCGATTCCATACCTGCCCCTTCCCACAGCGCTCGGCTCTGCGCTGCCTCTCGGTCGCTGTTGTGGTGCTGCCCTGGCTAGGAGTTGACTGTAGTACTTTCTGTGCCTTTTACTAGGCTTGTTACCATCCCCTAAGCCCCCAAGATGCTAACTGTTGCTGCTGTCACTTTCAAATTCACGCCCTTGCAGAATCCTTGTAGTCGTGTGGTCTTAGGCAAGTTGTTTTACTCCTTTGGGTTTTCTAGTCTGTCTAGGAATATTAAAACTACTTCAATTTGATTCATTTGACTTTTTATTGAGGATCATAACATTTATGAGAGCAAGTTCTCGCTAAAATGAAGTCCATTGCTGTAAAGTAACACACTTTATTTAAATTCTTTAGTAGAGCAGGTTGTAAACATAAGAGTAAATGAAGCGAATTTGTGGTATTCTCGTTTACCAGACGTATTGAAGACACCTGACACCTTACGGTTTTCAAACTGTTTTTTTTTTTTTAATATATTTTATTGATTTTTTACAGAGAGGAAGGGAGAGAGATAGAGAGTTAGAAACATCGATGAGAGAGAAACATCGATCACCTGCCTCCTGCACATCTCCCACTGGGGATGTGCCCGTAACCCAGGTACATGCCCTTGACCGGAATCGAACCTGAGACCTTTCGGTCCGCAGGCCAACGCTCTATCCACTGAGCCAAACCGGTTTCGGCCAAACTGTTTTTGCGTATTAAGAATTTGCCTCCTTTCTTGCAGTTGGTTGTAATACATGCAGAGTACATTCACAGGTTTCAATGAATACGTGATAGCTTTTGGAAATAGCAATACTTTGATAGTAGAAAACCCAGCTGTCTGACCCGTGTGGGGAGAACAAGCTCATGAAAGCTGGTAGGCAGCTGTATGGGGGAGGAGACCCACATGCTGTCATTGCACATGGCAGCTGCTACCTCATCCTTGTGTGCTTGTATATGCACCGCTGGGTTTTGTGTTTGTTGATCTTGGATGTCTGTAGGTTCAGTTCAAGAGAGACAGTTGGTGGTGTAGGGAAAAAACATGAAATTTAGTCAGAAGACCCGTTGTTACCAGCTATGTACCCATGAGCAGATTACTTAACCTCTCTGAACTCCTGTTTCCTTTCTTGTAAAAGTGGGACAGTTCTTATCAAACAATCTTGTTAAATGAGATAGTCTCCATAAAAACTGTCCAATGTATTAAATATGAAACAAATAATGGCCGTTTACTATTTATTTAGCACAGTGCCTGGAACACTTGAGTTACACTTTTTAAAAAAAATTGCCCAGCCAATACTTACATAATGCTTACTTTGTGCAGGTACTGTATGACATAAATATGAACTAACTAAATCTTCATAAAAACCCTGAGGTGTAGGTAGTATTATCATCTCTATTTTGCAGACGAGGAAGCCTAGGCACTACGATTCAAGTAACCTCTCGTAGTCAAATAGTTAATGAGTGGAAGAGCGGGGACCTGAACCCAGATAATCTGGCTCTAGAGTTTGTGCTCTTAACCGCTCTCTCTGCTACCTCTCAAATGTTAAATGAGCAATGGTCCATCATGGAGAAACTTGCCTGTAGCATAAACCTGATCAAGCAGAGGGAGGGATAGGTAGCTCATTATTACAACTTTCCAGGTGAACAGAGAGAATCGGATAGAATATGAGGAAGTAGTAACTCTAAGCCCAAAATTGGGAGGTTGGGGGAATTTTAACTTTGAGTCCTGGTAACCTTTGGCATTCTGGTAAGAAAGTCCTGCTTCTCTACCATCAAGTTGTAAAATAGAACCCAAACTGCACAACTTATAAAACTTAAAGCCTGGCCTGTGTGGTTCTCAGTGGTTGAGTGTCAACCTATGAACCAGGAGGTCGAGTTTTAATTCCCTGTCAGGGCACATTCTGGGTTGTGGGCTCAATTCCCAGTGCGGGTCGTGCAGGAGGCAGCCAATCAATGATTCTTTCTCATCATTGATGTTTCTCTCTCTCTCCCTCTCTGAAGTCAAAATATATTTTAAAACAACAAAGAAAACGTAAAGTTACAGGTTTGGATACATCTTTGATATATTTATCTTAACTTGTGTATTTGTATATGCCTTTCTTCTAGGTGTATTTTTCTGAACAAAAGTTGCCTCAACATATGTTTTAAGGATGGCTCTCCCTATCATAGTAAAATGGGGTGGGCAGGAATATTCAGTGACCACACTTTCAGAAGATGATACTGTGCTGGATCTCAAACAGTTTCTCAAGACCCTTACAGGAGTGCTACCAGAACGACAGAAATTACTTGGACTTAAAGTTAAAGGTAATTCTCTCCTCAAGTCAGATTTTTTGCATTGATATGAATTTTTATATTAGTTATTATCTATTCTCTTTAATAAGTCCCCTTGGAAAATTTATTTGATAGGGCTATTCCTAAAATTTTTATGATATAAGAAAGAATATTAAATGTTACTTGAAAATACCACCAGGATTAAGATCAATGGACACAGACACCAGGGGGTGAGGGCATGAGTGGGGAGGATGGGGGGGAGAATGAGGGGATAAGGATACATATGTAATACCTTAATAAAGAAAAAAATATATATAAATAAAAAGAATTACTTTTGATTCCTTTGATAGTTGGTGTTTGCATATTAAATATTTGTCACAGAAGTCCCCGCTAAAACTAAGTTTTGACATTTGCCCTTTAGCATAACCTTTTCATTATAGCTTGGGCCTTGTACTCTCTCCAAATTATCTTTTCTGATTTGAAAGTAATGATGATTTAAAATGATAATTAGCAATTAAATGCATTGTTCATATCCAGTCTAAAAGGGATGTTCATGTTGTCTATGTTTGTCATATCATTGAAAGGTGTGTTTTGAGTAGCATTAAATCTATAGTGATCTTAGGTGTGCAATTTTCAAGACTTTCTGGAAAACAGTTATCTTCATTTTTAACAATAAACCACGAATTTATTTGGTTTAGTGAGTTGAGTAAGGATGTTCCTTAAGACAGAGTTGGGGAAAAATCAAACCTTGTATTAGTTGGTACTTCTTAGAGTATTAGAAATTCTGAATTCAGCAGTAATAGTTTGTTAATTTAAGGGAAAAAAAATACTGCTGTGGGATTTGTACTGAACCTTTTATCATTAGAGTTTTGTATAATAGGATAGTGAAACCAGCACCTGAACTTTAGTGAGAAAACAGTCATTTGCTTGTATTGTAGGCAAACCTGCAGAAAATGATGTTAAGCTTGGAGCTCTCAAACTGAAACCAAATACTAAAATCATGATGATGGGAACTCGTGAGGAGAGCTTGGTAAATGTTTACTTTTGTTACCATTTGTCCCTGTGAAGATAATATGATTTATATTACACTTCTGTATCACAGTTTAAATTGTAAAATTGTCAGTTTAGTAGTAAATGAAAAATAAAAGCTGCACGGTGAATGTGGTATTAACTCTGCAGAAAAATACTGGGGAACTTGTTAGTATATGGATAGCTGTAAGTATAGTAGTGCAAATGGTCATATTTAACATGGCAGATCAGCCCAGTGAATGTCTATAACAAATTATAAAATGTGAAAAATTTCCCACAGTGTGTGCTTGGAAAGCTCTTGAACTCAATTTCTCATTTGCGTTTTATACTATGCATGTATTTATGTGTTAAAGATAACATGGTAAAAGAAAACATTTTCATCTTAATAGGAAGATGTCTTAGGTCCACCTCCTGACAATGATGATGTTGTCAATGACTTTGATATTGAAGATGAAGTAGTCGAAGTAGAAAATAGGTAAGTGCTTTTCACTGTCAAAGAAAATTGGTTGTAATATAAGAAAAAAATGAATGTTTCATCTGATTTTATTTTTCCATTAGGGAAGAAAACCTACTGAAAATTTCTCGTAGAGTGAAAGAGTACAAAGTGGAAATTTTGAATCCACCCAGGGAAGGGAAAAAGCTTTTGGTACTAGACGTTGATTATACGTTATTTGGTAAGTCGGCTAAAATTGTGTTTCATCTTCTGTTATCTACAATGTTTTTTCCTTGCAATATGAAATATTTGAAAGCTTCTCTTATTACAAAAGAAAATCATTCATTGTAGAAAACACATATAAGAATTAAAAATAAGTCATCTATAATCCTGAGACCCAAAGATGACCACTTTTATATTTTTGTGTATCTTCAAGGAGTGTTTTTGTATATTTTAATTACTTTTGCTTAATGATATATTGAATATTTTCTCATTTAATATTTATTGTGAATTAAATATATATATTTTTTGTTACATAGAATTCTAGTTTTTGGGTGCATCATAATGTGACCAAGTCATTCCCTACTGATTAACATTTAAATTTTTATGAGGATTTTAAAAAAAGCATTTTTGATATTAACCCTGGTTTTTTGTTTAGTTATGTTCAGGGCCGATTCTTGAGTTTAAAATTTAAATTATGTTCAGGGCTGATTCTTTAAAATTAGAAAGATGTTCATTTCATCCTCTAATATTGTCAAGAAATGACTAGTTAAATCCTGATATTAGAACGAATTTACTTAACCACTATCCTAAACTTTAAGTACATGATATAAGTTAATGTATACTTATTTTAAAATTTGATTATAAGTTAATTGGACCTATTGTTTGGTGAAATGTGAGTATATCTGGAAGGTGAATGACTCAAAGTAAGAATAAGTAGCCCTAGTTTGTTTTTCATATTCTAAAGTAACATCTACACTTGAGAGACTAGATGAAAAAAAAAATTCTATACTTTACTATATAAGCCCGAGTTCTGGCTGTTGCTCTTCTTCACAAATTGAATAGAATTGACAAATTAAAATTGGATCGCAAAGATATTGAATTGTGTGCTTTGGAGGCATTTCTTTGTCAGCCAATGTATGTCAGTCTGAAGTAGCTTGTGTTTGAGTGTTCATATTACACTAGAGACCCAGTGCATGAATCTGGGTCACTTGGCCTGGCCTGCGGGAATTGGGCTGAAACCGGCTCTCCGACATCCCCTGAGGGGTCCCAGATTGCGAGAGGGTGGTTCTCGGGTGATGCACCCCAGAATCAGGCTCCTGCCTCTCTGGTTCCGGGTCCGTCACCCAAGAACCGCAGCTGCCAAGTCACCGCAGCTTGGCAGCTCCTGTGTTGAGCATCTGCCCCTTGTTGGTTAGTGCGTGTCATAGCTACCGGTCGGAGCGTCTGCCCCCTGGTGGTCATTATGCATCATAGCTACCAGTTGGATGGTCACTTAGGCTTTTTTTTTTTTTTTTTAAATATATTTTATTGACTTCCTACAGAGAGGAAGGGAGAGAGACAGAGAGCTAGAAACATCGATGAGAGAGAACCATCAATCAGCTGCCTCCCGCACATCTCCCACTGGGGATGTGTCCGCAACCCAGGTACATGCCCTTGACCGGAATCGAACCTGGGACCCTTCAGTCCGCAGCCCAACGCTCTATCCACTGAGCCAAACCGGTTTTGGCTAGACTTTTATATATATAGATTTCCTAAGTTTAATTGATATTATGTACTTATCCACATAATAAACTAATAATCATCTATGACTGATTTTCTTTTAGACCATAGGTCTTGTGCAGAGACTGGGGTAGAATTAATGCGCCATATCTTCATGAATTCCTAACATCTGCATATGAGGATTATGACATTGTTATTTGGTGTAAGCTATATATATATATATATGTTTTGTTTGTTTGTTTGTCTTTGTTTAGCTTTCCATGGAAATAAGGTTGTTCCTTATATTCTGCTTTATAAAGTGTGACTTAAAATGACCTATGTTTAAATATGATACATTTTTCATTTGACTTAGAAAATTTTTAATAATCATGTTTAACTTTCTTGCATCACATAGTTGCCAAGTACTACTGAAATAGTTAAATGTAGGAAGAGAGTGGATTTTGGTGTTAGATACAAATGGCCTTATTTTCATAAGATTCCCCCCACCCCCTTGATTAGGAACTTTTCTTTCTGATCTTTAATGTAGAATCTTTGATGCTTCAGGATATTGTTGCTTTCTTTCTTCATCACTCTAGTTTCAAAATACTTGGAGAAATATATGTATTTTAAAAATCATAGTGATGTGGTTCTTCAGAAATAAAGAAAGGCAATGTGAACTTACTTAAGGAAAATGAATGAATGGACTAAAGCGGTATAACAAATTGTGGTCTATGGACCATTCCAGGAGCTTACAGGTTTGTGATAAGATAAAGGTAATGAGTTTGCTTTAAAAAGTAAATTTAGTACATTACTGAGCACACTGTTTAGTTGAATTGACAATTTTTTTGTGGCGAGACACTCTTGATAAGGGAAGCAGTTACTGATTTACATCTCACCTTCCCACAAACATGTAAAGTTGCCTCTGGCAATATCATAAGCACAGAGGACCTATCCTGATTGTGAATTAAATAAAATCTAATCAATTAAAGATACTACATTTAATTGTACTAGGTTTTTGATGAGAGGCCACATAATTGTATTTTAGTCTGTAAATTTCCTTTGTACTTTTCCTTGTAATCTGCAACTCTCCATTGTTTAGTGGTAATACATGTTCACAGCCATTAAAATTAAATATTGAAATACATAATTTTCTGGCTTATAAGACAGAAGAAAGCTAAATAGAGTAGGGTTTGAATTCTGGCTCTGTCTTTACTATGTGATACTGGGTAGGTCAGTTCATCTATCTGAGCCTTAGTTTTCTCATCTGAGAAATGAAGGTAAATAAGCTTATATTACAGAGTAGTTGTAAAAATAAAAATATTGGTATATTACCTAATAATATGGCACTTAGTATATAAAGGTTACTTAATAATTAGAAACCCTTTTCATTAGCTGTGAGTCTTTGTTTCTCATCTAAAAATTAGAAACCTGAAATGTATACTGAATTAAAAATTGTTTTTTCTCTCTCATGATTGTTGTCATTGTAGATACACCAGTTTAGTTCAGCTGGCCAGTTGTGCATGGAAGGTGATTCTTTTGGTTGTGTGTGTGTGCTAAAGATACTTGTTTTGAGAATACCTCTCTGTACCTCTATTGCCCTAAAACAATACACATACACATACTTAAATAATTGAACTTCTTTTTCCCTTTATAAACATTTTGCTTGGTAATACCTATTTGGTTTAGTCCAGTATCTTGAGACCAGGAGGGTACATAAAGGTGAGGGCTTATATTTTAATATCATTGATCTCAAAACTGGTTGGTGTTGGACAATAAGCAGATATGTAACATAGATTGGTTTATGAATGTAGTTGTCTCAGTCTGTTAAAAGTTGTTAGACTCAGTGAGCATTGAGTTTGGTGAGCCTGGTAAAATTCATTGAACCTGGCTAATCTTTGATGTTAACTTTAAAAAAAAATATATTTGTTATTGATTTCAGAGAGGAAAGGAAAGGGAGAGAGAGATAGAAACATCAATGATGAGAGAGAATCATTGATCGGCTGCCTGTTGCACTCCCCCCACTGGGGATTGAGCCCACAACCCGGGCGTGAGCCCTGACTGGGAATTGAACCGTGACCTGGTTCATAGGTCAACACTCAACTACTGAGCCGCTGAGGCCAGGCTGATGTTAACTTTTGACACATAATATTAATCTGCTTATATTGATGTATATACTTGTGCATTGCCTGGGTAGAAAAAATGGGCATCCAGACACCCTAAACTTAAGTTTGGAACTGATAGAGAATAGTATTGAGCTATTTTTAAAGAGAATTTAAGTCTTGACTTACACATTTCCTAGGTTCACAGTTCTTTTGAGCATTGGTTACCTGTGTCTTTTAGATCAGGGGTGGGTAACCTTTTTCTGCCAAGGGCCAGTTGGATATTTATAACATCATTCATGAGCCAAACAAAATTATCAACTTAAAAATTAGCCTGCTATATTTGGGTTAAACATTTAATTAACTCACCCTAATGCCTTGGCAGGGCCAGACCAAATGATTTCGTAGGCCTTATATGGCCGTGGGCTGGACATTCCCCACCCTTGTTATGTAAAAGTAGTTGTTTAAATTTTATTCTGTCTTAAAGACACACACTAAGTTTATTTTTATAAATACCTAAAGGGAAATTACCACAATATGTAATTGATTGAACTTTTAGTCTTGCTTAGAAAACTATTTATACAGAAGAAAGGTTTTTAAAAATGAAATTCATGCTTTTCATGTGTCTTGTATTATTCCTCATGTTTTAGCTGCAACAAATATGAAGTGGATTGAAGCTAAAATGAAAGTAAGTATCAAAAAACAACCCATTTAAGAATGTCTTGAAACTATATTTGTCTTTTTTAAAGTTTCTAATTGAATTAATTTCATTCTCACTGGAGGACATTTAGTGGGTAAACAGTACAGGAGTTAGAAGTGTGTTTAGTCTGATGGTGGATTGTATTAAATACCTATGTCTTTTTCAAGAAAAAGTACAGCAGAGCTCCCCTTTCTCTTCCCTCCCAATTTACTATAATGCTCTCTTTTCCTCTTTTTGTTCTTGTGTGTGATACTTAAAGGAGTGATGCACTTTTAAAATAATGAATTGGGAAGTAATCTGTCTCTAGTTTCTTTCTTTTGGACTGTTATTTATTGACTTAGTTAAGTGAAACTAAAATTCTTGCCAATTGTTAAGCAAGAGGTGGTGGTCAGGAGGGTAGAAAGTTGGCATTATGGGAAGTTGTAGCTGGAATATTCAGAAAACCTTGAATTTCCACATTATTATATTTTAACCACATGAGTATTGTGTATTTCTAGGAGCTGGGAGTGAGCACAAATGCAAATTATAAGATTACCTTCATGTTGGACAGTGCCGCTATGATAACAGTGCATACGCCAAGGAGAGGATTAATAGATGTAAGAAATCATTTTACTTTTATTTAAAGACTTGCTTCTTTTCGAATGTACTTTTATATTTATATTGCTGGAATAAACTACCTAAAGAGTTTAGATACATCTGAGTGGATAGTAAAGTATCAGTTGAGTTTAGACTTAGGAAGATGAATTTAAGGTTAATAGTTTTGAATTTTATTTTTCATATTTGAATTTTAATGATAAAATTCAGGGTTTTGATGCAGGAAAGGTCATGGATAATTGTCCCATGATGATGGCAGCATAGTGTTGGTAAAGACAGAGTGTGAGAAAAAATAGTGACATCAAGGGAGGCACTAGAAACAAACCAAAACAGACTTGCCGTGCCCTATGTGAAACTGTTAAATTGGGGTAATGTCTGTGAAGCCCCAGAGAAGAGCAACAAGAGCCATTAGAGAAAAGTCCATGTTTGGGAACCAAGTGGTGGGTTGACCTAACTACAAAATGACAACACTATTTAAGAGGATGTAGGATTCCTAACCCTGGTTGTCTTAAAGCTCTTGTCATATTTCTTAAGACTTTTTTAGCCAAGAAAACCAAGAATCTGGCTTATTGTGACAGCTCATGTATATTTGTCTTCAAATATTTGAGGGGTTCTTACAAACAAATTGAGGCAAATAAAGTTTTAGTAAAATTAAGGAAAAATATATGTATATATATTATTAATCCTCACCTGAGGATATTTTTCCATTGATTTTGAGAGAGAGAGAGAGGAAGAGAGAGAGAGAGAAACATCGATGTGAGAGAGACACATCAGTTGGTTGTCTCCCACACCATATGAACCCTGATAGGGCCAGGGATCAAAGCTGCAACCCAGGTATGTGTCCTTGACCAGGAATTGAATCGTGACCATTCGGTCTGTAGGCCAGCACTCTAACCACTGAGAAAAACTGGCCAGGGCAAAATTAAAATATTTTAATAATATTCTTTGCTGTAGCTAGGGTACAAAGAAGAAAATAGGCTTCTTACATTAAATGATAGAAGGAGAAAAAGAAAACTTAACTTTTTTTTAAATTCTCACCTGAGGATATGTTTATTGATTTGAGAGAGAGTGAGAAAGAAACATTGATGTGATAGAAACATTGATCTGTTGCCTCTAGTATATGCTCAGCCGGGGATCAAACCTGCAACCTAGTTATGTGCCCTGATCTGGAATTGAATCCACAACCTTTTGGTGTACAGGACAACGCTCCAACCAACTAAGCCACTGGCCAGGGCAAAACTTAACATTTTAAAATTTCAACCATCGTCACCATTTACTTACTACTATTTAATGTCAGAATTACTGTTATGTTATAATCTCATCTATATATATAAAAGCCTAAGCGACCAAACGATGGAACGACTAGTCAACCAGTCGCTATAACGTGCACTGACCACCAGGGGGGCAGACACTCAATGCAGGAGCTGCTCCACGGTGGTCAGTGCGCTGCCACAGCCAACCTTCGGTCCCTCCCCCCGGCCGGCTGGCCCAGATTGGCCCCGATTGGGACTGTGCAAGACAGCCCTCATTGTCTCCGATTGCTGGCCAAGCCAAGGGACCCCACCTGTGCACGAATTCGTGTATTGGGCCTCTGATATTATTATAAATAAGACCCTTGCCTTCATCAAAATGTATTTTTGCCACTAAAAATTAATTTACTTAAAAAATATTTTTCTAAATGTGTAAAATACATTCCATGATTCAAAATATAATGTACATAAGAGAAGTCTTCCTCCCACTTGGGCCCTGCCTCTCTTTAATGCTCTTTACCATGGGAAATCACTTATTTCTTGTGTCGTCTTACAGACCTAATACAAGTACCAACAGATATGAATGTGTAAGGAATTAATCTTTTTGAAGGCTCATTTTAATAATTCAGAAATAAAATTAAGAACTTACAAATTATTGTGCTTTTGAAGTTAAGCAATCAAATGCCCTAGAAATTATGCACCTGTGCCACTGAATTAAAGACAAGTCAGTTTTTTCTTTAATATTTAAATTCTGTATGAAAATATTTAAATTCTGTATTAAAAGATTCAGGTACAGCCCTAACCGGTTTGGCTCAGTGGATAGAGCGTCGGCCTGCGATTGAAGGGTCCCCGGTTCCATTCCGGTCAAGGGCATGTACCTTGGTTGTGGGCACATCCCTGGTGGAGGAGGTGCAGGAGGCAGCTGATCGATGGTTCTAACTCTCTATCCCTCTTCCTTCCTCTCTGTAAAAATATCAATAAAAAAAATTTAAAATACATATATATATAAATAAAAAGATCCAGGTACATTGTCCATCACTAAGGTTTTCTAGTTCTGAGGGGTAGTATTAGCCCAGGAAGTCATGTGACTGCTTAGCAGCCATCTAAACCATTACTTTAGATTTTTTTAAAATTAAACTATTATTCTTCCTTTGACCCCAAATCTTCATGTTGAAATTACGGGAAGTCTTATAATGGGGTTTAGTTCAGTTCAGTTTGAACAGATCTTTCAGAAGTTAACATTTCGAGATACATTGTGCTTTCAGGTGTGTTGTATCTCAGCTCTGGTCTGGTCACACAGCCAGCTGTGCCTGCTTACAGAGGAACACCTGGGGTAGTTGTGCAGGGCATTTTGCGTTGTTGCTGCTTTTTAAGTAAGGGTGAACTATTGGAAAATTTGAGTTAAATCTAAACTTTTATTCTAAGGTAAAGCCTCTTGGCGTTATATGGGGGAAGTTTTCAGAGTTTTACAGCAAAAAGAACACCATTATGTTTGATGACATCGGAAGAAATTTTCTAATGAACCCACAGAATGGACTAAAGGTAAGACAGTTTTACTTGCTGTGCTCACATAACCTGGAATATGTGTTAGCACTTTAATACTGTTGAATTTCATACATTTTTGGAAATACTCTCTATCATTATGGTCATGCAAGAAAAGCTTAATTATTTAGAAAATTTTATATAACATTGAACATTGTCTCCTTGGTTAGCCAACTCATTCAGGTGTTTTATTTTTAATTAAATTTGGGGGACAACATGAGCTTATTGACCATTGACTTTTAGCATCAAAAGTGAAAGCATCAACCCTGGCCGGTTTGGCTCAGTGGATAGAGCATCAGCCTGGGGACCAAAAGGTCCCAGGTTCGATTCCAGTCAAGGGCATGTACCTTTGTTGCAGGCTCCTCCCCGGCCTGGGCCCTGGTTGGGGTTCGTGCAGGAGTTGACCAATTGGTGTGTTCTCTCACATTGATGTTTCTCTCTGTCTTTCCCTCTCTCTTCCACTCTCCTTAAAAAAAATCAATGGAAAAATATCCTTGTGTGAGAATTAAAAAAAAAAAAAAGTGAAAGCATCAGACATTTTATTAATAACGGATGCAAATCTTGGAATTTCTTATATTCTAGTTATCTGGAAAGCTGACAGTAAGGGTCTTTTTCAAAATATATTTTTATTGATTTCAGAGAGGAAGGGAGAAGGAGAGAAAGTTAGAAACACCACCCACAACCCTGGTATGTGCCCTGACCTGGAATTGAACTGTGACCTCCTGGTTCATAGGTCAATGCTCAATCTCTGAGCCATGCTCAATGTTGTTGTTGTTTTTTAATTAGAAATGAAACAGGTTGTAAAAATGTATGCTCTCGTAGCTATATAAAAGTTTAATAGAAAAATGTTGAAATGATATCTCCCTTGTTACATAAAACTTGTATTTGGGTTAACTTTTTATGAATGAAGTGATATGAATGAAATTATTCAATTAGTAAGAAGGGGAAAAGTCTAAGCAGTTATGCAAAGAAGAGATGCCATATAGGATTTAAGTGCTATAAGAAAGTGTTTCAGGTTCAGACTGAAAAGATAACAAGGTAAAAGTAGGTAGAAGAGCTCTTAACTTGTACTGTAAACATTATACCATGACTATCGGTTTGTTAAACAGGTAATATAAAAGTAATTTTTAATATTGACATCCTTGGTGATATTTTAATATCATTAACTCTAAATGATAGATGAGTGTAAATTTGTACCAGTTTCCATAGTGCAGTGTGAAATATTGGGTAATGTTTGTTTCCTGATAGATAAGGCCTTTTATGAAAGCTCACCTAAATCGAGATAAAGACAAAGAACTTTTAAAATTAACTCAGTACCTCAAGGAAATAGCAAAATTAGATGACTTTTTGGACCTAAATCACAAATATTGGGAAAGGTAAGTGCTAATTGTTTATTAATTTTCTCTTTCCATTAATGAATGAAAAAATTGGCGACTCTGGTTTTACACATAACTCTTAATTTTTATTTTAAAATGCGTGAATCTAAGAATATATTCTAATCCCATGACATCTCCCCTGAGAGTATTTTTCCCTTTTGTCTTAACCTCTAATTAGTCGATAAATCCACGTCTTAAGATCTCTAGTACTTCTAATAGAGAGGAATTGAGAGTCTGGTACATGTTTGTGATGCTATCTGTAAATTATTTTGTGACATGAGGTAGGTCACTATTATGAATCACCTGGGCTTGTAATCTCTGTTCTGATATTGTAAAATAATGTCTGCATAAAATAAAATACACTAAAAATTTATCTACAAATTATCTCTCTGTGTAGCAGAAATGTTAATGAACTTTATTCCACTAGAAAAACAAATTGTAGATGACTTAACTAAGTGGTAGGTATAAATGCCACAATGCCAGGAAGTGAGCAAGTTCTGCATCATCAAAACTTGTCTAGGTGTTATGATTTTAAGAACTCTTTGCTCATTCCCCATTACCATTGAGTATGGTAACTCATAAATGTGATAGAGATATGAAACTTTTAATTTAGTGGTAGATTCCTATAAAATAATATGAAGGAAAGTTTGTTTGATTAGTAAATTAATTTATTTGCATCTTTACCCTCTTGATCACAGTCCTTTAGCACCTTTGGCCCACTATCTTTGTGCAAGAAAAATAAGATTTTTAAATGGAGTTTGAGGTTTTTTGGGGGAGAAATTATAATATTAATTATAGGCAAGGCAGTATAGAGTGATTGAGGGCCTTATTTTTAATCTGAGCTCTGCCACTTTCTGGCTGTGTGAACTTGGGTGAATTGCTTAACCTCTTTGTTTCTGTAAAATAGGAATAAGTTCTAATAGAAAACTTTTCATAGAGCTGTTGTGAGGACCAAATGAACATAGAGTATGTGTTTAGAATAGTGCTTGGCACATAGTCCAAAACTGTTAAGTGATTATTAAAAGTTACTACTCATCTTTAAAAGTTTTGGTACTAAAACAACTACTTTCCTTTGGGGAGAGTGTTAGATTGTTATTGTGAGTTTAGCATGGTACAGCTTAGACGTCTTTTATTTCTTGCAGATATCTCTCAAAGAAGCAAGGACAGTAGTTCCAAGTTATGCTGGCAGTTATTGAAGATACTTGAGATCCACGAACTCTTGCTTTTATGCTAGAAATCATTATAGTAGTGCTGGACACTGAAGCAAATACCAGACTGCTTATACTTGGTCTTCCAGTTTTTTGTAAATTTAATTTTATATTTTTTGAAGATCACAGCAATATGCTAAAAATATTCTTTTTTCCCTATGTGAATATATTGTTACTCGTGAAAAATATTTTCTCCAGGATTGAGTACTGAGGTGTACCCCTCACTCCCCACTCACACAAAAAAAGTAGACAGAAATGTATACTCAATAATATCATTTTGAGATTTTGGAAACAATCTATGTTTTATGTTCCTGCCTTATTTGTGTTGTTGTTGGACTAAATCTAAGACCAATTCCATCTTGAAACAACTGCTTTTCCTTTTAAAACAAAATACCTACATATGTATGTATATATATGTATTTTCAGGAAGGAACCTAGTTTGGTATGATTAAAAGCACCAATTTTTTAAAAATTCTTTTGTCATAGACACAATTTCTCTTCTTATCCACTATTGACATCTCTAAATTGTGAGCTGTCTGGTTGTATGTGTGTCAGTGTTTGAGTAAAACTGGAAAATGTCAGCTGCAATACCAATATGTCATAGTATGAAAAATAGAAAACATAAGATTGAAAAATAAAACTAAGAAACAAGAATGTTTCTTTTTGGTGGCTAAGTAGAAACATTTCTGCCTAAAACCATTGTCATAAAAGCAGAGGCAATACATTTTAAAATGGGACATATCACTGATTCAGCCCTAAAAAGCATGAACAAAAGTGTTTGTTCTGTTCTAGCTATATCTTGTCTAAGTGCAACACTGTTTCAGTGAAAATATCTAGCCATAAGCTTTAAAAAAAATTGAAATGCTTAAGCCTGCAGATATGTAATGTGACCACTGTTTTGTGTTGACAGTATTGGTTTATACAGTTCTTGCATTTGAAAGGAATTTGATCCTTTCAAATGAACCTGGTGTATATTGTTCTTACGGGACTATTTCAGTGGTGTAAATAATAAATACCTTTTCTTAAAACACTGGTGTGTGCTCTGTTACCCCAAATACTTTTTAATCACAAAACAAACATTAGGTCCAGGCAAGGCTCTCTTGAAAAAAATTAAATGTGTGTGATTTTAAATCACTTCATGCATTCAGAATTGGTTTTTAACACCAATTCTTAGATATGTTAAATTACTTAATTCTAATAAGCACCATGTTTTCAAAAGATAAGCTATTTTCTTTTTTTGTGCTCAAATAAACTTTACACAAATTATTATTTTTGCTGAACCCAGTCCTCTTTCTCCTCTAGAGGCATTCAGTTGCATCACCATCATAAAGATAGAACAAGATGTAGCCACAGGGTCAAACAGAAATATATATTTCACATGCATGCTCATCCCACCAGGTTTCCCTCAATACTGCTTTAGGTTAAGTGTGTTCTGCTGTCAAGGTTGGGGTGGGAGGGTGAGGATTTGGATCTGCGCAGACCCAGAGTGTGATTAGGAACTCCAGTGATGGACATATTGGAGGTCCTTAGGCACCTCAAGCCCTGAATGGGTCAGCAATTCTCCGTCCCAAAGGGCAAAGGCAGGTACCACTGGACCCTGGGAATCTGTCTCTAGCGTGTGGACCACAGCAACCCAGCTCACATCCACCAACCTCAGTTTCTAGGCCTCATACTCCAGCAGCAGCCCCGCCTTCTCTGGATGCCCAATGCCCTCAATAGAGGCTTTCTTCTTGGCCAACGTAGTGTGTCACTTGCACTGGGCATAGGTGAACACCCAAGAACAGTCATCAACACTGATGCAGCTATCCGGAGAAATGTCCACACCTGCCACTCCGACCCGGAATTGCTGGGAGCGCTTCACTGTTACCCCCCAATAGTGTCTGCCACTGGTGATTGCTGTGTCCACCAGCACCACTATCCACTCCCAGAAACGCTCCACATTCAGGGAGCGTTTGGTGGGCTCCAATCCATATTTGACACCTGTATCTTCTCTGAAGAGTGCCAGGCTGCTGTGGGCAGTTTTCTCTTCCAGTTTGAAACGGACGCCTCTGTGGGCTTCAGCAGCAGCCTCCAATCCTTTGGCTCCCCAGCGGCACAGGCACTGAGAACATGCGAAGGGTAGCACCATCTTGTGTCCCATCTTTTCTCTTTTTAAAGCTTTTAAAAAATAAATTTTTATTGATTTCAGAGAGAAAGGGAGAAATAGAAACATCAATGATGAGAGGGAATAATTGATCAGCCACCTCCTGAATGCCCCCAACTGGGGATTGGGCCCGCAACCTGGGCATGTGCCCTGACTGGAATTGAACCATGACCTCCTGGTTCATAGGTTGATGCTCAACCCCCGAGCCACACCCGCCGAACAAACTATTTTCTTTATGACAGGTGATTATAAGGATATATGGTGCAGAAGACTTTGAGAACCCTTAATTAAAATTATTCAATCAAGATGTGTTTCTTTTTAAAAAAAATTTAAATGTATGGGTTTTAGAGAAACATGGATTTGTTGTTGTACTTATTGATGCATTCACTGGTCGATTTCTTGTATGTACTCTGATGTGGGATTGAACCCACAACCTTGGCTTTATTGGAATGATGCTTTAACCAACTGAGCTACCTGGCCAGGACCTAAAATGTGTTTCTTAATTCTGAGGCTAAGTTTAAATATTTAAGGATGGAATAGAATGTTCATTTCATTGGTACATTTCTCACTATAAAAGGCAGCTTATTTCAAAGTAGGCATGTAAAAGACAATCTTTTTAAGAGGAGTGAACATTTAAAACTATTCAAATAGCTCAAAAAGAGTAGATATATTTTTTAAGCAGACATTTTCTAAATCAATATAAACTAAAATACAAAACTTACCAAGCCCCAGGAAGCAAAGTAGGATTTTTTTTCTTTTTAAATGTTTTTATTGATTTGATAGAGAGGGATAGAAACATGGATTGGCTGCGTCCTGCACGACCCCCCACTGGGGATCAAGCCTGCAACCCAGTGCCCTGACAGGGAATCGAACTAATGATTTCTTCGTGCATTGGTTGAGTCTCCACCACTGAGTCACACCAGCTGGGCACAAAGTAGGATTTTTAAAAACACTTTTTCCATTAGGTGGTGCCCAAACCAAACATTGCAAGCCAGTGTGCTAAATGAAACAATTCTGAGAGAACATTGTCATAGTCAGCCGATTGAGATCACATGTGCTTGTTATTAATACATTCATAGAGGATGGAAGTTTGGCTTGTCCTCGCACCTCATGATTTATTGGACGCATACTGGTCTTATATATAGCTTCCTATGTGTGGTACACACAACAGAGCCAAGAGATGACTTAATTTAGATGCACATTCTGGCGAAATAGCAAGTTATTTTTATGATACAGTAGTTGCCCTTACCCATGGTTTCACTTGCTCTGGTTTCAGTTACCCACTCTCAATTGTGGTCTAGAAATATTACATGGAAAACTCCAGAGGTAGTAAGTTTTAAATTGCGTGGCATTCGGAGTTATGGTGAAATCTCGCGATATCACCCTCGGTCCCGTGTCTTCGCGCTGTAGCCGTGCCGCTCATTAGAGGCTTAGTCGCCATTTTGGTTGTCAGATCCACGGTCAAGGTATCACTGTGCTTTTGTTCACGTAACCCTGATTTTTAGTTTATCGTTGCCCCAAAGCTCAAATATACTGATGTTGGCAACTTAGGTACGCCAGAGAGCAGCCGTAAAGTACTTCCTTTAAGTGAAAAGGTAAAGTTCTCGACTTAAGGAAAGAAAAAAATCCCGTAACCCGAGGTTGCTGATCTACGGTAAGGACGACTCTTATATTCGTGAAACTGAAGAAGGAAAACGAAATTGTGCTAGTTCTGCTGTCGTCCCTCAAACGGCAAACAGTAGGACCGCAGTGCTTAATAAGTGCGTAGTTATGGAAAAGGCTTTAAATGTGGGGGTGGGAAACATGACATCATCATGGCTCGAGGATCCTGATTATCGTCAGAAGGTCAGTAGTCGCCTAGCGCTTCGTCCCAACCTACGTCATTCACCTCGTCTCACGTCACTCATCTCGTGCGGTCGGCCTGGAGTCATCGTCCGAGGAGGGTGAGTACAATATAATTAGGTATTTTGAGAAGAGAGAGCAAGCGCGTCCCTTAAGTTTTATTGTAGTATATATTGTTACAATTGTCCTAACTTATTGCCAGTTGTTAATCTCTAACTGTGCCTCATTTATAAGTTAAGCTTTATCATCATTATGTATGTTTAGGGAAAAAACAAAGGGTATAGATAGATGGTTCGGTCCTGTTCGTGGTTTCAGGCCTCCACGGGGTGGGGTCTCGGAACATGTCCCTCGAAGACAGGGAGGGATGAGTGAAGAATTGTTCCACACCTTCAAACAGCTTGTGCCTCATCAAGTATGTGCAACCCAAAACCTGCAAAACATTGTTTAATCTTTGATGTAGAGGGCAGTTTGATATCTAGTAGCCTGTCCTGTCCTTTATGAAAAAATCAGTTATTGGGGTAATAATACCTATAGGAGACGTTTCCTTTTTTTTTTTTTTTTAAACAAAACAAAACTGGAAGGTTTTACTTATAATTACTAAGAGGACAGTATTAAGAGGAAAGCTTTTCTTGATGAAGTCTATATTTTACAAATACTACCTTGGCTTTTTAAAAGTTTTATAAAGCAAGGAAAATGAATGAGGAAATACTTCTTATGGTCCAGGCGGTCGCCAACCTTTCGGGCCTCAGGGGCCTCTGGACTGGAATACCTGTCACCGTCTCCCCCCGCCCCCCCCAACTCCCCTCCCAAAGTGCATATGTTTGAAATATAGTGGAATATTAACATTATTTTAATCTTCTAACTCTGGAAATTAGCTGTTCCCAGGTAGAAGTGTGCTAATTTTGCCATGCCATGTAAGAAATAAAAAATCATTCCAAAGCAATGAGTTTTTTAAAACATTTTTTAAAATTGTTAAGATAAACTAAGCTAAATGTTATTTCTTTTTCTGATGGACTTGGCAGAATAAATTGTCTATGCAGGAAGCAGGCAGTCAGCATTAGATTTGTTAGGACCTATTATATATCTCAAGGCACTGTTCTTCATAGATAAACACAATGAGATTTTTTCTACCCTCACAGAGCTTATACTGTATTCAAGGAAGGGAAACAAGAAAGAAAAAAAACCTAATAAGGTAATTTTCAAAGAATAAGAAGAACTATGAAAATATGATAGGAAGTGATTGGGGTGACAGGAGTAGTAGGGTGGTGATTCACAATGGCATGAGATAAGTAGGAGGACCTGAATGATAAGAGACATCATTCAGAATATTATGGAGAAGATTGTTGGGAGTAGAGCTAGGAGCAAGTGCAAGACCTGAAGGCAGGAACGAGGTAGGCAGATGTAGGGACTAGTGGGAGGTAATTGGTGCCTGGTGGGAGTTGAGCATGGAGAGGATGGTAGAGCCCAGGGGGTAGGTAGGATTTTGCAGGTAACAATAAGTAAACCTAGTGAATTCTAAATGAAATGGGGGGAACCAGTAGGGGAATAACTAATTTTTTAACAGACTTAGTGAGATATAATTTACATACTATATGATTAACCCACTTGCATTTCAATAGTTTTTAGTATATTTACAGAGTTCAGCAACTATTACTATGATCTAATTTTAGAACCTGATTTTTTTTTTTTAAAGATCACTCTGGTTCTTTTGTGGAGAATGGATTTAGAGGGGCAAAAGTAGAAAGGACAGGAACAGTTAGGCTATTGATTTAATCGAGGTGAGAGGTTTTCAAAGTGAAGTTTTCATTTTTTCATTGCATCATTTCCCAACTACCTGTTGAGCCCCTGTGATGTGCCAGACACTTTGTGAGGTGCCAGGTGTTGATCCCTGCCCTATAGAGTATACAGCTGTGGGACTGTGCATGACAAACTCAGCCCTCTGCGCCTCACCACTTGGTAAGAGTTTTAATTTGAAGAATAGAAAATTCAACACGTCAAAGTCAACATATAAAGAGTCTTTCTCACCCCACCTTCACCCAAAGTGA